TTGTTCTGTTTTTCTTGCATTCTGCAACCATGGCTCTTCAATCACTTTGTAAAGCTCTTCTATGTTTGCTTGTAGTTCTTTAAACATTTTACTTATGTTTAACGCATCTGGAATGTATTTTTGTGTGTAGCATGGTAATATGATTTTGCCCCACTATGAAATGCCACTTTAATGTACATTAAATCCCCACTGATTTTGAATTCTGTTTATTCCTCCCTTCTGTTTGTCTCTTTCTGTGTTAGTACCACACTGTTTAAATTATGGCAGCTCTTCACTATACTTTAATATCTGGAAGGACAAATTCCCTCATACTTACTATTCCCTCATATTCTTTTAAGGTATTGTTTTGACTTTCTTCACATAATCCTTCCAAATAAGCTTAATTTTTAACTTAAGTGTAAATAAACATACAAACAAAAGCAAAGCTGATTAGAATTGTGCCCAAAGTAGACATATAATAATTTTTGGAGGACTGATCTTTCTACAAAACCATGTCTTCCAATCCAGGAACATGGCATGCCTTAATGTTTTCTACTTTTATTTTATATTCAATAGTAGAGTTTTCTAAATTGTCTTCATACAGATCCTGTACATTGTTTGTTAGATTATTTCTAGATATTTTATTGTGTGTTGTTGTAATAAATGGGAACTGTTTATTCCATCATATTGTCTAACATGATTAAGGAAAACTGGATTTGGGGAACATTTTATATTCGATCATTTTTGTTGGACTCTTTTATATTTATTCATCCAATCAACATTTGTTGAGTCCCTGTCACATGCTAGTTTTTTTCTATGTACAGGGGATTTAGTAAGGCACCACATAAATGCATATTAGGGAATATACATTACTGTAAACCTCCCTCTGCCCCCTCAACAGCTTGAATGAATAAAGCTTGTTTTTCTCACCTCATGTGAAGTCCAGAGTAGGCAATTCAGGGCTGTTGTGTGACTCTACAATGCCAAGATGGGTTCAGGGACTTTCTATCTTTCTGTCCAGCAGTCCCTATTGAGTGTTTGTCACTGTCTGACCTCCAGCACCTCCAGCATTCTGTCTGCATTCTGAGCAGGAAGGAGGGCAAGGGCAAAGGATAAAAAAAGTATGATAGCTGGGCCTGACGTCCCCACTATTTCTAGCCTTTCTAGAATCCCGTCCCCTGACTTTTACCTACACTCACTGGCCAGGACTACACCACATGGCCACATCCGTGTCCATTAGTCACATTATGTTCCCCTCAGATGCGAATTCTTTTAGTAAGGAAGGAGGGGAGAATTCTGAATAGGCACCCAGGCAGGCCCTGTCACGATAAGAGAGATTCCTGCCCTTAGGGAGATGTTCAAAGAATTTATACACATTGGTGATCTTAGTCAGCCTTGTGGCTGTGGGTACAGTTTTATGCTGCTGGCCACCGACACTTCCAGCCCAGGCCTCTCCCTGGAACTTTAGGCTGAAAGAGCCTGTTTGGCATCTCCACTTAGATGTCTAATGAGGATCTCAAATTTAACTGGTTCTAAATGAAGTCCTTCACTAAAACTGTCCAAGACAGCCTTTTCCACCTCAGTAGATAACAATTTCATCCTTCTAGTTGCTTAGGCCCAAAACCATCCTAGACTCTTGTCTGTCTCACGTCTTCTATCCAATACACCAGGAAATCCTGTTTGGCTCTGCCTTCATCTTCCAAATATATAGAGTATCCCATGCCATCTCACCATTTCTACCACTAACATTCTTGTCCAAGCCACCATTATTTTATGCCTGCATTACTGTAACAGCCTCCTAAAATTAGCCACATAATCCTTCCTGAAGTGGTTCAGTTCCTTGTCTTCCTCTTTTCTAACGATCTTATCCTTGTCCCGTACCTCTGCTACTTATTCCCGTAATCATTCCCTACCCTTTGTAATTACCAAGCACTGCAACCCCGAAACCTGTCATTTCAGAGTTAAGCATCCCACTGCTGACAGCCACTCTTTCACCCATTATGTCCTCTGTTATCCCCACTCTAAAATTCCTCCCTCAGGACCTACAATCATTAATCCTGTACTTTTTCACTGCCCCTCATTCTCCCCTTATACTCTTGCTTTCCTTCTTACAGAGTTTAAATTCCATGGTCAACAATTTCTTTGTCTACATGCCCTTAACTTCCTTGCCTTTCTGTCCATTTTACTTGCTTGGCAAACTCCCAACCCTGATTAGATCTACCTCTCCACCTGTGCTCACCCTGCTGGTGTGGTGGAAGAAAAACAGATAAGCAAGTGGACCGATCCTCCACTTGACTGACCCTGACCCCTCAGTGGAACATTTAACACTGCCCAGAAGTCATACTCTATTTCCCTAGGCTTTTTACTCTTTCATCCTTTGCTTTGTTTTCCTTTTCTTTTCCTTTCTTCTCACACCTCCAACTCCCTTTACTCCAGATCTTCAGGCCTATGATGACCTTCCTTTTTATTTCAATGAGAAAAATAGAAGCGACCCAAGGAGATCCTCGATGAGCTCCCATCACCACAGCCTCCTACCTACATCTGGGCCCATACAATCTTCTCTTGTTAATACGGACAAACTGTTTATATTTCTATCTCAGACTGTGTACTACATTCCACCCAGTCTCATCCACTCAAGGATATCACTCCAGCGATTCTCCTCTGTCTCCTATCTCAAATTTTCTAGTTTTACTAGCTCATTTCCACTTGTCCATATTATTATTTCTTCTTAAAAAAATACAAGAACTCTCTCTGGACTCCATTCTCCCCTTCTAACCACTATAATATTTCTCTTATTGCTTAACAGCCAAACCTCCTGAACAAATTGTCTATATTCGCTATCCCAAATCTAACTCCTCCCACTCTCTTTTAAACCCACTCTAATCAGGCTCTCACCCCCCATCATTCATCAGAAACAATGCTTGCTAAGGTCAACAAAATATGTGTCCTAGTTAACTTCTGGTCATCTTTCACATTTCAGTCAAACCCCACTGAAATATTTTCTGACATTTCTGACTAGGTAAACCTATCTATTATATGCTGTCACAATTATATTGCTTATTCTGCTTGTAATTTTATATTTGTATGTGATTTCTCGGTTAATGATTCTTTTTTCCTCAATAGACTCTAAGTTCCATAAGGGTAGGGATAATGTCTATTTTTCCATCATAATTGTATGGTCAGTGTCTAACACCATGCCTGGCACTCAGGAGGCCACCAATAAATTCTGGGAGAATCAAAAAGAAGAAGATAGCAGGAAGGGAAAAATGAAGGGGGGGAAATCAGAGGGGGAGACAAACCATGAGAGACTATGGACTCTGAGAAACAAACTGAGGGTTCTAGAGGGGAGGGGGATGGGGGGATGGGTTAGCCTAGTGATGAGTATTAAAGAGGGCACGTACTGAATGGAGCACTGGGTATTATACGCAAACAATGAATCATGGAACACTACATCAAAAACTAATGATGTAATGTATGGTGATTAACATAACATAATAAAAGAAAAAGAAAAAGAAAAAAAATTCTGGGAGAATGAATGCTTTATTACCATCATCCCCATTTTAAACTTGGGAAAAGGAGGCCCAGAGAAGTAAAGACACCAGATCAAAAGCACATTGTGGATTATTGGTAGGATAGGGACTAGGATTAATTGAACATACTGATCACCAAGCGCCATGCTACATTCTAGGGGTACAAGACGAAAGAGACATGCCCCACTTTTCCCAGGCTAGGCCTTACAGAGCTTCGACGATGCTTGGGCTAGACAGGACAAACCATGCAACCTAGTGCAATATCAAGTTCTTGTGTCTACAAGGGCTTAGCTACCAGGTCAATGGAGCTGCTTCCACTGCTCTGGTTCTGGTATTCAAAGTGGCCAAGGAGAAGGCATCTTCCCAAAAAGCATTTGTTTGACTATATATGGTGATAGATGTTAACTAGATTTATTATGGTAATCATTTTGAAATACATACAAATATCAAATCATGTCGTACAACTGAAACTAACATAAGGTTATATGCCAATTATGCCTCAATTAAAAAAAAAGCATTTGTTTGAAATTACATTGCAGGCTTCAGAATAAGACTCTCTGGGTGCATATTACTCATCACTGATCTACAAATTATGAACCAGGAAGAACACTGGAAGGAATAGGAAGGTCAACTTAAAGTTACAACATTAAGATCCATTGTCACTTGAAGACCAGTAAGAGAGAAAAGCGTTTCAGAAATGAAACTGTTGGGAAAACAAGCCTTGAGTTACACAACTTTTAAGGGAGCTACTGCATTAAAAAGATCTACGTACACCAGTTGGAAGACTGAATATTGTGAGATTAGCAAACTACCAGGCAGAACCGTCAATAAACACAGTCCAATTTACCACTCTGTAAGGGACTATACTACTACGATGATCATATGATTTATTATGAACAATGGGGAAGTTTGGGAATAAAAAGAAGTACTATGAAAAACCTCTACCAGGACAATGAGTGTTTACTAGGACTGTCCCAGGCAAAAAAGCAGGACGGTCACCCTCTTTAGTAAGCATCCTCCACTCATTACACATGGAGAAAACCAGGTACTCATTCAGTCATGCCAGAATCCATTAAGCAAATTAACCAGGGCAGCCAGAATGGACAAGACCCCAGTCCAGTGTGGGCTCTATTTAAATAATTTTTACCCTGAATGGTTATGCTAATACTTACCATCTCCACTGAATAAAAACAGAGTTAAGAGTCACTTGCTTTATCTACTTGTTTTTTTTTGCCCCTTCACACCTAATCTACAGTCACTCTTTAGGAAGGCTCTTTCTTTCCCCATTTGAGGTTTAGTTCTAATGCTTAAGAAAGAAAATACCTTCGGTGCTAAGCAAAGTCAAACTGAATGCCATTCTTCAAGTTTCCCAAGGCTTCCCTCTTGCCCAAAGGCACAGTTGGCTTATATGAAATTTGCATGAATATGTGCCACATCTTTAATTAGGAAGGACTCCTAGGTCATTCACTGAATCAACATAACAAAAACAAGGTCACTAGCCACAGAACTTTATTGTAGGGATCAATACATATATACTTCTCAGAAATGTTTTGAGCCATTCACTTGATGGTTACAAACACATCAGGATCTATCTAATTGGCGTATTTTTTATTTGCTTGGCAAGAGAAAATCATGAATCAAGTCCAAAAGGCCTGATTAAAAAATCTGTAAAAAGGGAGGGCTAACCACTGCCTGCCCTATGTCAAGAAACAATGTACAATTCAAATCAAGAAGACAATTCCATACAAGTCCAGCAAAGCAAGCTGGCAAGTAGAAATGAAACGACAATCTGTTATACAAAATGCAAAAGGAGTCAAAGATGAAGTACAAAAAATAAAATTTGGGTCAGAAAATCATTACTAAATAAAACCACATGAGGATGTCTATTAGTTGTTTTCTTTAAGGGGAAAAGAAATTGAGCTGTTAGTTTCCTATTTATTCAGAAGGAAAAGTAAGGCAAGTGTTTGAAAAATACTTCTGATATTGAGTGAATTCTTTCTCATCTGCCACCTAGAATTCACAAACACCTGACTTATTCTTGCCCATCTCTAGAAACGAGAAAATAAAATCAGTGTTTGATCTTTAGTGCGACACTCACAACACCCGAATGAGGTCCAGAGTAATCCTCGATCGGGGGATGTCAATGTTGAGTACTTGGACTTCCACTCTTTCTCCAGGGCCCAGTCCAAGACTCCTTCTCTTCTTTGTTTTAGAAAGTTTTGCTTCTGTTACATTTCGTATGGGAATCAGCCCTGATCTCCCCACTCCTATATCTACAAAAATTCCAAACAGAGTGGCATTCTCGACTTTGCCTGTAAGAACTGTCCCAACCTGCAGGTCTTCCAAGCAGACAATGCTTCTCTTGAAATCAGGTTTATCAAAATCTACAAGGAAAAGGGGACAAAAGACAGTGTAAATAGTAGGTACTATACTTCCTGGACACAATATACATTAGTAAATAAGTATTTACTACATATCAGTTATGTGCCCAGACCACTAGTCAACACTGAGAGGGAGCATAAAAGAGCTGAAACCCAGGCTTGCCTTCAGAGAAAATGCATCTTAATTGAAGAAGCAGCATTCACATTAGTAGGAACAACACAAGAAAATTTACTCATTTTCTTCTCCTCAAACTCTATCTTGCTAGCATGCAAACATTAGCACTATACACAAGGATTGAGAAGAATAGAGAGTCTTATTTTCCTCTTTATGAGAAGGTGATGAGAAAATATCTTTGCTCAATGAATATATAAGGCCAAATCACAAACACTGGGAAAGTTAAGACTTTTAAAGACAGAAAATTGGGAGATTTTTTTCCCCCGGTACCTGAATTTGCAAACTGTTTAAAGGTGGTAGAAAGTACATCAACATTTGAAATTAAAATGTTCTCTTCTCTCATTTCCCTCCACGAATTTGGAATTCAGGAATCAACTTCTGTCCATTTTGAATATACTTGTCCAATCAAAACTTAATACATTCTTGATTATCTATGGCTCAGAAACCCAGAGCAGCCAGGAACCTAATCTTCTTTCTCCTTTTTCAGTTCAAGTCATTAAACATTTATTAGCTCCTAGTATGATCTCCTGTCCAGGCACTCCGCTGGGTGCTAGAGATACAAAGATGAAGACACACAGATCCCTGCTCTCAAGTTCCTTACAGCCCTCTTTTCTTGTTCGCCCCACTGTACATTTCTCTGTTCATTAACACCAGGCCTCCCAAAAGTGGGTATAAAGCATACCAAGGAATCATGGCTCTAGTAAAAACAAAACAAAAACAACAACAAAGGTTTTATGAGGGAGAAGGGTAGAACTAACAGTCTAAATGGGGCTTTTGGGTTATCTGTGGATTCCATTTTCCCATGCTCTTCTTGGCCCCCTTTCCTAGGATTACTGAATGTTGATTCTAATAACAAAGAACATTCTAAGCTTGGATCTCCTTTTACTAAGGCCTCATTTTCCCTCCACCCATCCCACTTCCTTTTCCTCCACAGCTGTTGGCTTGATCCTGATTACTTGTTAAAGCTATCCTTTACAGTTGTACTAACAACTGGCCACCTCTTGGTTCCCCTCCCCCATCCAACCATCCTGAAATCAAGTTGTTCTTTTTTTTTTTCTAAATTCACCTTTTTCCAGTAAAACAAAACAAAAACCCTCTTTAAACTTCAAATCTCATTTTCCTCATAAAAAAAGGAATATGTGAAAACTGGAATTGATTCTGTAGAATTTTCCCTGACACTGCAAGTAGTGGATTCCAAAAGCAAAAAAACCTGTTGTAATATTACACTGGGCAAAGACTGTGTCAAAGCAAAGTGAAACTAAGTCATTGATCAGGGCAGAGGTAGGATGGTCTCTGAGGTCTCATAGGCATTGTTTTTATGCTTGGAAATCCTATTCTCTTATAGAGGTCCAGCTGCTATAGATTCCCCAAGGGTTCCTGATCAGCTGCTTAGTTTAATTTTGCATGGAAAATCAGAGTCAGGAACTACTTAACATGTTCCTGAAGACAGCCTGGGCCACTGAGAAATCAGAAAATCCTCCATGTACCAGGCAAACTTTAACACTTTGATTGCCAAGGCAACAAATTCAGTCGGCTGTCACTAGGCTGCTTCTGATGACTCCAATTATGGAAAATAACTGGCAACCAGAGTGTTAATAAAATAGAATCAATTTTGTCAGAAGACAGGATGAGTATGGGGAAAGAAAGAGGCATCAAGGGAGGAAATACTTTTGAGAAAATGAAGAAAAGAAAAGATGTAATGTTTATAAATACTGTAATGAGGAAACATCCAAAATACTATCTGCCTCTTCAAAAGTATGACTGTCTGCCTTCCCCCTTGGGGATATTTTTAGTATTAAAATAAAAGCTTTCAGACATTTTGAAAATTGTGACTTACACAAAGGGCAAAGGCCAATTCCAAAGTGAGTTTAAAGAGACTTATTTGAAATTTCACTTATCACAATGATAAACACTGCAGTAACTGGTAAGCTCGGTCCAGAGCCCATATGCATCTGTGTTTCTGCTCACTAAGGGCATGACAAGGTGAGGACCTCTACTTAGCAGTTGGTTGTTTAATTGAACCATATAATCTGAATGTTGATTTTCACTCTGAGTCTGCAGTGTAACTGGGAAAACAGAGCAATCAACACCAAGACAGAAAAACGATCAAGAAAACCAGTACAGGAGGCCTGCAGCTAGAGAGAGCATATTTACCAATCTTCTAATGTGGTGTCCTAGGCATACCAGCCTCATAGCCCACTCTGTTTAAGAACTTAGTATCCTGCTAAACAATACCCAGGGAATTCACATACAACGGTATCAGGCCTCCAAATAGAGATGGGTATGTCTACTGAAACATCCACTTTGGATGGACCACCCTGGAGGCTCCTACTCCTACATTTTTGTCATAGATCTTATATATTTTTTCTCCGACTTTAAAAAAATTAATTTCTGACTTACAGAAAAGTTAAGGGAATAATATAATGAACTTACTGGGTGTTTTTTTTTTAAGTTTATTTATTTTTTAGTAATCTCTACACCCAACGTGGGGCTTGAACTCACAACTCTGAGATCAAGAGTTGCGTGCTCTTCCGACTGAGCCAGCCAGGTGCCCATTACTGGGTGTGTTTTTAAACTCCTTTAAACCTTTTCAAAGAAGCACGTCTGACCTCCTCAACAGAGCCTAACTCAGAATGAAAAGAACCAAGCCTTAAACACAGTATCCTAAAACTGGTTATGAGACAAGTGCAGATTCATTTAAATCTCAGAGCTTCCTATTCAAATATCCTTAGGAAGTGGGTTACTTGATACCTTAGTTCTTTTTCATCGGGTCATTGCCCTCAACAACTATGGCTGTTATACCTCCCTCACCATCTACCTATGCTGAAAGCTGAGAGCTCTTTTAATTAGAAGGAAAATAACAGAGAGATAGTATCTTATTTGTTCAATGTGTTCACTGACACAGAATCCAGGAACTTGGAAGGCTACAATTTAGGAAGAAGATTCACTTTTTAGTTTATGAACTGAATGTCTTACCTTGGACTTCTGGCTCCTACAAGATAAGAAGAGCTTACAAAAGGATTATGAAAAATGTATGCCTCCATGCACACAGCAGCCAATGTGTGATGCATTTAGTCTAGTGTGATGGAAAATAAGCATGGGACAAGGAGTCGTCGGGAGATCTTGCTTCTTGCTTTGGCTCTGGATGCTAACCAACTGCAATGACTTTGAAGAAAGGGCACGATGCTTTAGTTTTCACATGTACAGAATGGAGAATAGTATCAGTTTTGCCTACGGCAGAGGTTTGTTGTGAGGGCCATAGAAGATTACGTGAGCTATGTAAATGAAGGTGCTGTTATTCAAATTTAATTATTTACCTGTTCGAAAATCGAAGCTTTCAGGCTGGCTGAGACCATCTATGATGACCTGTAAGGTGTGAACTGTTGTTTGCAAACTTTCTGCAATTTTCTCTATTCCTTCCTTTTCAAGGAATGAATTTATTTTTTGTTCCATTTCAGGCTTTCCAATCTCATACAGTGTCCCTCTGATGAATGACAAAAACCTGCAGGAACAAACAAACAAACAAAAAACCCAGCACTTACTAATAATATTACTTATTTTCCAAAGTCCTTATACAGGTCACCCTAAAATTCAATCATCTCAGATCCATATATCATCAATCAACCAATCAATCAGTCTTGATTAAAAATCTATGTGTGTCTCATGCTGTAATGAATGACCTGTCTTGGAAAAAAAAGGAGGGGATGGACTTAGGTTCTTGTGCTATTTTCCAGTGAAGCACGTTCTCAAAATCAGCATCAGAAACGCTTTACAGTGTAATGTTCGTTACAGTTTAGTGTCAAACATATTTTCTAAATAAGGATACCTGTTTACCTTATGTTTCCTAAATTTGAGTTAGGAATACTCATTTGAATTTAAATTAGCTAATAGGCAAACAATGAACTGATGATTTCAAAATCCAACAAAATACCCGGTAAGCATGGCCAGCTTTTGACAAATGAAAATTTGTTATTCATGTGCCATATCACTGGCACATGAATACTTTTTTGTACTTTTTTTTTGAGTATCCATGATGACAGTGTTACCTAAGCAAGCATACTGTCAGCCTACTAATTCTCAAATTCCATTGACAGTCAAGCTTCACGTGGATTAAATTGTATCAAGTACATTAAGTATTCAGAGTCCAAAGGAAAAATATGGGGGGGGATATCAAAAAGAAAAAGTACTTGCTTACAAAATGGAAGGTGTGGAAGCAAGTAAGACCTTAATAACATAATCTTGAGATGACTATTGTTTTTATATACTGTATAAATTATTGCTGCAATATTTACAAAATAAAAATATCTGCTTTTCTCAATTTCCCTTTTCTATGTTTACCATTTCCCTTGCTTGCTGCCTCTCAATTACCTAGCTTTGGAGTTCAGTAATAAGTTAACTAAGAAAAAAAGAAAGGGTTAAACCATTTCCCCCTTCAATTTCATCTGAATATTGGGCTGTAGCTTACTTTCTTGATAGTTCTTGGCTGGGTATTTTTCAACATCATTAAGTTCCATTTCCTATGATTAATGGCACTTTAAAAATGTCAACACAGGAATCAGACAGATAGTAATACTAATGCCCTCAAATCCTTTCCTCTAAGGATGTCTCTGGAATACAAGAAGGGAAAAAGGAAACTGTTGGAGGCTTGTCCATCATCAGAACTGGGATATATCCCATTTGGCAGATTGCTGCATTATCACAAAAGGAATGCTTGCCATTTCCAGTCTTTCTTTGCATTGCTCTGTTCCACCAGAAAAGCTTCTTCAGTGATCATGCAGTACTGATAATCCAGCATCTGGTGGAGAAAGTGCTCTCATCTCTCATTTAGGACATATTTTGTGTTCAAGTGGGCAATCTTCCTACATTTCCATCCTACATTTTTAGTCAAAAACAGATAGATTCTCCAAAATCCAACTAATTCTCTTGAGAATATATCTTGGTTCGTGGTCTAATGAAAGACCAAGGAATTGGCGCTTGGTCTCTCTTTTTGGAAATGACCTTCTGTCCAAACTGGTGGCCAGTGAGACATACGATGTAAGTCTGTGTGTCCATGGCTTCCCCAGCCCCCACCCCCCAGAGAGGCAGCCAGTATCTGTTAGTGCTATTGGACAAGCAGTAGCACATAAGGGCCCTGGTGACAGGGAACAGTTGTTGAAGCTCTGACTGACGGGACAGATGACACATGACAACTTTTGCCCACAGCCAACTTCTCTGCACAACTTTCTCATCAATGCATGTCCTGCTGAGCAGGCTTCCCTGGTATTTATCCTCTTGGCTTGATCAGTCTGCAACTAGCTATTTGGTAGAACATCTTTCAAATCCTCAAGATTCTGGCTTACAATCAACTGTTAAAATGCCAAAGCATATTCATGGGCTGTAAATCTATAACCTTGAATGGCATTTTATAATTAATGAAAGTTAACTAAATGGCAAAAAATTCCTAAAGCACTGTATAAGTCTTGGCCTCAGTAACAAAAACACTGGCTCAGAAGGCTGCTTGGAGTTTTGAGGTTGTGTGTGTGCGTGTGCGTGTGCGTGTGCGCGTGTGCGCGTGCATGGGTGTTGTGTGTCTGCGTGTGTGTGTGTGTGTGAGAGAGAGCGAGAGAGAGAGGGGGACTAACTGCTACCAAAGTCACTTCCATATAAGGAATTCTGTTTATAGTAGTTGCAGATGTAAGAAGAAAATTGGTCTGTTTAACCTGGGTGCATATTTCATATATCATTTTCATTCTCACATACAGAAGGTAACTGAAATCAATAAAAAAGTACCAAATTGTGCTCCTAGCTAACACTTCATATTGATCAACCCTATTTTTAAATGACTATGGAACAAAGTCAAATGTTACTTTATTTTGAAAACTTTCTTAAAGTTACAACAGGCTTACAGAAAAAGGAAAATAGCAAAACCAAAGGGAAGAGGGACTATAAAATAAACTGGGAATAGAATTCAGATTGACCTCTCCCTTACTGGATTTCAAATATATTCAACTGTAAATGATAGGAAACAATGCTTTACACCTGGTAATCACTCAAGAAACATGTGTTAAGTAGCCTAAGAAAAATTTATTCTACATTTTCTGAATTCTGGCCCTGGAGTTGAATGTGATAAGTAACATGCAATAGAAAGTTTCATTTTAGAAGTGGGTATGATAAGTAACACTAAATACAAAGTACTTTCTGCCTCGAAAATACCATATAAAAATACACTGCACTTTATGAAGCTTGGAACACAGTACTGAAAAGTAAGTGCCGGGCATTATGCTAGTGCTTGATAGAGGTGTTCATCCAATCCTAACAAGAATCCTAAAAGCTAGGTGTCCTATCATACAGAAAAGGAAAACTGAGGTTCAGGGAAGTTAAATATTTTGCCCAAGGCCACACAGCTATTTTCACTGACTGGAGTTTCATGCCATACACATAGTGTGTGTCTGTTTATAACTGCAGTCATGTCAAAATAAGTGATGTGTTTGGTTAAGATATAAAACATAATACTTCTGGTAACATTTCACCAACACAATTTAATGGCAGATTAGTTTTATTTTATTTATTTATTTTTTTAAAGATTTTATTTATTTGACAGAGAGAGACACAGTGAGAGAGGGA